GGAGGGGGGAGGAGGCGGGAGGAGGAGGAGGAGGAGGAGGAGGAGGCGGAGGAGGAGGGAGGAGGAGGAGGAGGAGGAGGATGAGGGAGGAGGAGGAGGAGGAGGAGGAGAGGAGGAGGAAGGAGGAGGGAAAGAGGGAGGAGGAGGAGGAGGAGGAGGAGGAGGAGGAGGAGGAGGAGGAGGAGGGCGGAGGAGGAGGGAGGAGGAGGAGGAGGAGGAGGTGGTGGAGATCGGGGGAGGGCAGACACTCTCTGCACGAACGAAATAGGCCGCACGGAAAGAACGGGTACGATGCCCAAGCAGTTCCTGTTCCTTTTGAACAGGACTCGCTGTCCGCGCCGCCGCGGCCTGTGTCCACTCGAGACAGAAGGCCGCCTGCCCGACAGCGGCCGCTGTTGGCTTGGGACAACGTTTGTTGTTGGGCATTGTACCCATTCTTTCGGTACCCATTTCGGGCGTCCAAAGGGGGAGGGCAGACACTCGGCGGCGAGCCCAGGGGGGGAAGTGAGAGGGGGCGGGCCTTCGCAGAAGGTTCGGAAGTCCCCCGGCCTTCGGAGCAGTCGTCTGAGGCTTCCCCAGAGGCAGGAGCAACAACCCCTCGGAGGGCGCGAGCGCCTCCGAGAAGTCCCGCCGCCTTCTGAGAAGGCCCTCTCCTTCTCGCTTCCCCCCCTCGCTCGCCGCCTAGACACCGAAGAACGAAAAGCGGCGCAACCATGAACTTTAGACGCTCCGCGCGGAGCGCCAAAAGTATATATATATATATATATATATATATATAGATATGTATGTATGTATGTATGTGTGTGTGTGTGTTATGGCGTTCGTTTTTTTCTAGGGACGGCAGAAATCGAAGAACGAAAAGCGGCACAACCATGAACTTTGGATGCTCCGCGCGGATTTCCTGGATCTGCGCTGGGCCTCCCTTGCGGCGCCTCCGGCGCCGCCCTGCCGCGCTCTGGTCGCTGCTAGCGCGCGGAGCGCGCCAGGGAGGGGGTCCATCGCAGATCCAAGGAATCCGCTCGGACCATCAGAAGTTTATGTTTATGCTGTGTTCTGATCCTCTAAGAAAGAGGACTATCGGGTTTGGGGGACTGGGTTGGTATAAATGATCAGCTCACCCGTGTCATCGCCTAATTATGTTGAACGTGCCTACTGGAGACCCATGCCAAGAAACACCCTGCTTGCGTCCAGGGTGCCCTGGTATTCTTGGGTTTCGATGGTTTTGCTGTGGAAGGCGTGACGTTCCCGCACCAAAAATCAAGGGACGACCTGGGGTCTCATGGTTGGGTTTCGTGGAAGGTTTCTTGTGGACGGGCCTCCACTGTATTGCACCGTCGTGCCCTGTGTCTTCCTCACCCCTTCCTCCCAGCACAACTGCTGTCCTGCTGGGGGCGGCGACGGACCACCTCACCGATCCTGGCCAGGCTGAAGTCGGGCATGTCTCTCTACAGGAGGAAAATTTATAAATAATCAAAAAATAGTCTGGGGACGATTTTCCTAGTGTTTTTGAGTATTCTTTTCCGTCCACAATCCGCCTGTAGGGGGATACACCCGACCCAGCACGACTGCTGTCCCGATCCCGGCCAGACCCCCCCTTGGCCCCCAGGGCCCGCGTATACTTGATTACGCCCTCCTGGCCTGGCCGGGGAGCCGCAGCCCCCTATCCCGGGCCCAGGGCGTATCGGCCAGGCCGGGGAGCCTTGAGACGGGGGTCAGCGCAAGGGGGGTCAGCCAGGGCGCCCGATCTTGCAGGATCCTGCAGGGGCAGGGGCGCACTGACACGGGCCTGGGTGCAGGATCCTGCAGGATCTTGCAGGATCCTGCGCGCTGACCCGGGCTTGGGTGCAGGATCTTGCAGGGTTCTGCAAGGCCTGACTGACCCCGGTTTGCACTGACCCGGGTCAGCAGATCCCCGACCAAGCCGGGATCGGTGCGGAGGCGGTCAGTGGCCGTCCTCCGAGGATCGGAGAAGAGAAAGAACGCCATGAAAATAAGTTTTGCTTGTTTATGTCGTTGTGCGTTCCACCAGAAAGCGAAGAACAGGAAGCGGCACAAACAGAAGCTTTGGACACTCCGCGCGGGTTCCTTGGATCTGCGCTGGGCCCCCCCCGGGCGGCGCCTCCGGCGCCGCCCCTGGCGCGTTCCGCGCGCCAAGGAGGGGGGTCCGGCGCAGATCCAAGAAATCCGCGCGGAGCGCCAGGAGTGTATGTTTATGGCGTTTTTGTTCTTCTTCTAGGGACGGCAGAAATCGAAGAACGCAACGCGTCATAAACATCAGCTTCGATTTGCGCTGGGCCCCCGGTGGCGCTGCCTTCAGCCCTGGCGCGCTCCGCGCGCCAGGAGGGGGGCCCAGCGCAGATCCAAGAAATCCGCGCCGAGCGCCACAATTTTATGCTTACAGTGGGGGCCCATGCCAAGAAACACCTCGCTTGCCTCCAGGGTGCCCTGGGTTTCTTGGGTTTCGATGGTTTTGCCATGGGAACCGCGACGTTCCCATACCAAAAATCAAGGGGCGTTCTGGGGTCTCAGGGTTGGGTTTCTTGTAGAAGGTTTCTTGTGGTCAGGCTCCTACTGTTAAGTCGGGCATGTCTCTACGTATGCAGGGGGAATACGCAAAGATAGTAAAACAAATACGTAGTCTGGCGACGATTTTTCTAATATTTGGTGACTATGTTTGATGTTTGTAGTTCTGCTATTTTTGATTTTTCATCCAACATCCGCCTGTAGGGGGACATGCCCGACCTAATCCTACTCCGAGTTTCTTGATAAGCGTCGGGGGGGCGTCACCCCCGCCGAGAGCCCACATGGATCCTCGTCGCGGGCAGCCACTGCGCGCCGAAGGCGCTCCGACCCCCGTCGCGGCGCGACGACGAGGCGACGTTGACCCCCGTCGGGGGGTTACCCCCCCGCGCTGATTCAGAAACCCAGAGCACCTTGGCATCGCTCGCGCGTGTGCATTTCTTCTCGGCGTGGCCCCTCGAGGAGCATCCCAGATCCCTGGGACAAAAAATGGCACGCACGAAACCCAGAACTGCACAGGGACTGGACGTCCGAACGATGGCAAGGTGCTGTACAGTGAGCGGCTTGAATAAGGAACACTTACTTTTCAAAAGGGGCTCGGTCGTTCCTTAGGTTTTACATGCGTTATTTACAGCTCCTTATGCGTTGCGTTATCTATTATCTATCGCTCCTTATGCGTTATTCCTTGGGATGAAAAGGGGCTTCGTTCCTCATTTATCGTTCCTTAGGTCAACGCCTCGACTGTATGGCGGCTCGCCCTTCTCCCAAGAGGAGCGGCACTTCCGAGGCAGCACGCCCCGCGCCGTCTGCGAGCCCTTCCTGGAGAGGCTGCGGGGCGGCGGCCGCCTCGAGGGCATCCCCGGGGTGCTCTGCCGCGACCGGCGGCACGCCCTCAGCTCGGGGGGCGCCCACGAGGGTTAGCGAGGACTGAAGCGAGCCCGCTCCTCTGCGGGAGGAGCATCTTCACGGGCGAAGAGCGGTATAACATAAACTTGCTCGCCGTCGGGGACACCCGCCCCTGGGCGGCTGGAAAGTTTATACCCCTACGGTGGCACCGTAAGTACTTTCCAGCCGCCCTGGGGCAGGTGTCCCCGACGGCGAACAAGTTTATGGTATACCGCTCTTCGCCCGTTAGATATTCAAACATAGGCCCAAAGTTCCGAGGCGGAAGTTTCTCCATCTCCACCGCCTGGAGGGTCAGTTTTCGGGGCCTCGGCAGGCGGTGGGTCTGGACATATTCGGGCCCCCGGGGGCCGAAACATAGCCATATCCACCGTCCGCTCGGGCACTCCGGCGGCTCCCTCGGGAGGGGTGGATCGGGCTGGAAGATCGAGCCGCGTCGAGGAGGGGGAGGAGGGGGAGGAGGAGGAGGAGGAGGGGGAGGAGGGGGAGGAGGGGGAGGAGGAGGAGGAGGAGGACGAGGAGGAGGAGGAGGAGGACGTCGGTTCCCAGGCGGTGGATACGGATAGATCCCCGCCTCGCCGACCTAGGACCAGGGGCGTGTCCGCCTGGGCGGGCACCTGCGCGCGGCCATCCCCATAGGCTCGAGCAAACGTCCCCCCCTTTTCATCCGCATCTTTTCAGGAGGGGAAAAAACACACAGACACAATTATTTGTCGATTTCCCGGAAAATATGGGAAAATATGGGAACTGGGGGGAAGACAAAAACCCAGAAAATATAGGAAAATATATGGGGATTATTTTATTTATGTGTATTTATTTGTGTGTCCCAGTTCCCCTTCATCTTTTGCTGGCCCCAGACATGTTCGCATCGTAAAAAGAAGTTCCAGACGGAGGCTTCTCACCGTTTTCGGCCTCTGGGGGCCCTCGCCGGGCCCAGGGGCCGTCAAAAAGCGATTCAGGATGAAAAGTCGGTCCCGGGGCAAGTGTCGGGACTTCCGGGGACGCCGTGCTGAGAAAAAAACAGGTCGTCGCATGTCTGGGGCTGTTGGCAGAACTCAGCAGGCGCAAGGACGCCAGAACCAAGCAGGGGATGAGGATTGTCAGGAGGCTGGATGCACGTGGCGCGGTCAGCCTTGGCGAGAGCTGGATGCCATGACATGTTGCCGCCCCCGTCGTTGCAGCGCGTGGCATTGACACGCCCCACATGCGTATCCAGTCAAGTGTGTTTCCAGCCTCCTACACACAAGTCGGGCATGCCCCTCTACAGGAGGAGTATCAAAAAACAGTTCAGAAGATAGTTCGGGGACAATGCTTCGACAATGTTTGAGTATCCTTTGACCATCTGTCTCATTTGTCTTCCAAAATCCGCCTGTAGGAGGGCATGCCCGACCTCATCCTGGCAGCTGCGCGTGGATCTGGTCAGGGCCACGGCATCTCTCAGATTTCACGGGCCCCCCGTCCTCCTTCGCCCCCCCCCCCAGCCGCGCACATGCTTCGGGCCATGGGTGCACTGACCCCCCCCCCCGTCCTGGCCCTCCTCTTCGGCGCACCCGGTCGTCCACATTGCCCGCGAGAAGATGGCGTTCCTGGCGGTGGTGACCCAAGAGGAGCCCGACGAAGAAAGACCAGATTCGGATGAACTCTCGGAGGTCCGCGTGGCTTCCTCCCGTCGGCGCCGGAAGCTCCTGGCGGCTCCTCCAGCGCCGCCCCTGGCGCCCTTCGCGCGCCATGGATATGGGAGTCCAGCGCCGCCCAAGAAATCCGCGTGGACGTCTATAAATCGCTGTTCTTGCGATGCTTGCTCTGTTCCTATCAACAGGAGCCGCCGTTGGCCGTCTTCGAGCTCCTGGACAGGGTCCACCAGGTGCTGCTACGGTACCTCGGGGACGTCAGCGAGGACTCGCTCCGGCAGAATTTTTCCACTGTGTACCTCCTGCTGGACGAGATGATAGACAGCGGGCTTCCGTTCACGACTGAGCTGAACAGCCTCGAGTCGATCATCGCGCCGCCCTCGGCGATCGGGAAAGTTGTCCAGGCGGTGTCAGGGAGCAGCACGACGGTCTTGTCCGACGTGCCGCCGGAGGCCGCCGGCACCCCAGCCGGCGGAGCCCTCGGGGCGCTCTCAACGGCCCTGGGCGCCGGGACGCACACCAAGATAGGCGGCGCTTCGTCAGAGGTGTGGTGGCGGCGGCAGCACGTAGTGTACGCCTCCAACGAGGTCTACGTCGACATCGTCGAGTCGATCGACTGCATATGCAACGGGAACGGCCAAGTGGTCTCGGGCGGAATCAATGGAGACATCCTGGTCAATAGCAAGTTGAGCGGGCTTCCCGAGGTTCTGCTCACGTTGCGAAACCCAGGGGTGCTGCAAAACGTTTCCTTCCATCCGTGCGTGCGGCTGCACCGTTACGAGCGGGACCGGGCGTTGGCCTTCGTGCCCCCAGACGGCGAGTTCACACTCGCCTCTTATTGGATTCCCGACACAACCCTTGTCTTGCCGTTCCATTTCAACGTGTCCCTCACGTATCATCAGGAGCATGCGAAGTTGCAAATCGTGGCGAACCCGAAATTGGCAGTGACGATGCAGCACAAGCAGATGTTGATTGACAAGTTCTGCGTCAACGTCCGCCTGCCGTCGTCGATCGCCTCGGCGACCCTGACTTGCCAGGGAGGCAGCATCCGCTTCGACGAGGACGCCAAGGTGGTTGTGTGGAACATCGGCAAGCTCGCTGGCCAGGAGAACAAGGCGGACGGCACTCTGATCTACGCCACAGACCCCCGAAACGGATCTCCGATAGTGCCCTCCGAGGAGAAGTCCACGTCGCAGCTGCACTTTGCAATCAAGGGCTGGGCCATCTCAGGTGTCCGGCTCGACGCGTGCGACGTGAGTGGCACCAACTACACCCCGTACAAGGCGAGCAGATACACGACGACCTCTGGCAGGATGGATTTCCGGATCGCCTAGGTTCAGGAGGAAAAGAAGCACACAGACACAATTAATCCTCGATTCCAAGACAATATAGGAAAATATGGGAAGTGGGGGGGAAGACAGAGACCCAGAAAATATTGGAAAATATGGGGGATTATTTTATTTGTGTGTATTTATTTGTGTGTCCTTGGGCCCCTTCATAGGTCTATTGAGAGAGCAGGGCGGCCTTCGAGATCTTCCGAGGTGGTGCGCGCGCTCCGCCCGTGTATAAACAGCGGGGGCCGCGAGAGTCGGAGGAGGTCAGTAATGCACGTACCTGCACGTGCCTGCCCAGGCCGATCATGCTGCTCCCAGGGCCGAGGCCTAGTGGGCCAGGCCAGGACGGAGTGAACACCGACCCTGGGCGTCGGATGGGCCTGGCCATGCTCGGTGCAGGTGCAGTTGGTGTCCTCTGTCTACCCGTTTGTACATGGCAGCAGTTGCTGGGAGGAGGAGGATGAGGAGGAGGAGGAGGAGGAGGAGGAGGAGGAGCAGGAGTTCTCGGGCAGTCCCAGGATATGAATGTATCATTCCAGAGCGTCTGAGGGTAAGGTGAGGAGGACGACCAGGAGCAGGAGGAGGAGGAGGAGGAGGAGCAGGCGAGGTGGAGTATTTGAATCGTTCGAGAGCGTTTCAGACGAGGATAGCGAGGAGGCGCAATTTGCGCGTTCAGCAGATACACTCATCATCGAAGAGGGGAGAGGCAGGAGGAGGAGGAGGAGAAAGGACGGGAGGAGGATCAGGAGGGGGTGAAGGAGGAGGAGGAGGAGGAGGAGGAGGAGGAGGGGGTGGAGGAGGAGGAGGAGGAGGAGGAGGAGGAGGCTGCGGATGAGGAGGACTTGGACGCAGATGGCGACGTGTAGCCGTCTGGTCCGTGTCTCACCGTCGCGCTCGCAGGCTGCTCGGCGCATGACAGGAGGAGCAGTGGAGGAGGAGAAGGAGGAGGAGGAGGAGGAGAGAACTGGAGCAGGAAGAATGGAGGAAGGAGGAATAATGACTCTGACTCGACCTCCACCTTCCCCTCCTGCCTTCTTCTTCCTGCCTGCCTTGCTGCCTGCCTGCCTGCCTCCCCCTCCGTGAGCAAGAGGAGGAGGCCGAGGAGGAGGAGGAAGAGGAGGAGGACGACGCTGACCCTGCGGGCGAAGCGGCGCCCAACAGTCTGCCCAAGAGAATGGAGGCGACGGCGACTGCGACGTCGGCGACGTCGGCGACGACGACGACGGCGACGACGACGACGACGACGACGACGTCGGCGAGGGCGAGCGCGCGGGCGGCGTCGCGCGGGCACGCTGCCGGCGGCCCCCCGCGCGGCGGGGGCCCGCAGGCGCGCGGCCGGCCTCCCGGGGCGGAGGCCTCGGCCGCGCGGGGCCGCCGCGCAGCCCGGGCGCCGCAGGACGCGCCGCGGCGCGCGCGGCGCCCGTCGCCTCTCCGACCTGCGCGCCGACGTCGGCGTCGACGCCGTCGCTGCCGCGTGCGGTGGCGCCCGTCGCCGTCGCCGTCGTCGGCGTCGTCGGCATCCGTCGTCCGCCGTCCGGCGTCCGGCGGCCGGCCTCGATGCTGGTGGCGTCGTCGTCGTCGCCGCAGCCGTCGTCGTCGTCGTCGTGGTGGTGGTGGCCGCCGTCGTCGTCGTTGTCGTCCTGTTTGGTGCCGCCTGCCTCCCGGACGCCCTGAGCGTCTCCCTCGGCCTCCCCAGCCTCCTTGACGCACCTGCTGGGCCCCTGTCAGGCCTTTCCAGCCTACTGTGCACCCCCTCGCTCCAAGTCGATCAGGAGGGCGGCCGCACGGCCCCGCGACAGCCCAAAGCGGCCACATACACTCCCAAGACCCAAGACGCCCGAAGACGACAGAAAGAAGATTCCGACGAGGCTCCCAAACGTAGGAATCATTGTTGTGTCGTATGTGTCTTTGTCAAATCCCGGTCCTGTGCCTTCTGGGCGTTCGAGACCGCCCAAGAGTGCCCCAACATCGAATAACAAGTTGCAAGAAGGGCATCCATAAAGTCCAAGAGGGCCCCAAGACGGCCCATCAGGGCTCCAAGATGGCCCGACGAGAACCCGATGACGGCCCAAGATGGCCCCAAGCCTCCACCGAAAGCGGTCCGAATCGTGGCCTGGTCATGGCAGCGAGGTGGCCCAAGAAAGATCCGAGAGGCCTCCCAAGCTCGAAACTCGTCCAGCAGGCCTACAGAGGCCGCCAAGAAGCCCCTCAGAAGCATTCTTGATGCCCCTCCGTAGCCATTTTGGCTCAAGCCACTTTGGCTCAAGCGGTTTTGGTTTGGGCTATATATCTTCAGCGTCTGCCAGATTTGCGTGCTGTGCCGCAGCGGATTCGCAATGTGCTCTGATTCGCAAGCTGGGAAGCCTCTCCGCGTGCTGCCGGCGCACTATCGAAGTCTGTTTCGCAATGTCACCACGGTTCCGAACATAATGGGCCATGTTCGAGCGTTGCTTCTGATTGCCATGCTCTATGGCCACGTTGAAGGGTTGACGTCTATGGTGTTCGTGACGTACTTGCTCAATCTGTGTGTCCTGGACAACTTAGACGGCATCGTTGCAAGGCGATTGGGGCAATGCACATCATTGGGCCGCGTTCTTGACATTGGATTAGATGTTTGCTCGGAGTCATTGCTGCTTGCGTGCATATACCAGTCGTTCATGACGATGGCCGATGTCCCCCTATTCATGAACACGTTCTCGCTGTGGGCAGTCATTGTCATAGATCGTTGCATCTATACCGTGGGGTGCTTCGCTGCTGTGGCGATAACCTTTGCCGGATTCAATTGGAAGGACCTCCACTATCCATGCCCGATTACTCGCTGGTATCACGGCACTAACATTGGTGGATATGGATTGTATTGCTTGTATCATGGCTTCCTTGCTGCCGTTTATGCGTTCGCACATGGTCAACCAATGAGCTTGATGCTTACGCTTGCTTGCATGCCTGGCTTTATTCTACGCTTGTGGGCTAGCTGGGTTGGAACGTACGAGTGCGTTCGAGTGCTCATGGATCTTGACAGAGAGAATTTCTTGGCCACTAAGTAATGGATGCAGAATCTCGCCCTGCTTTGCAGTTGGTGCATCGTCCTCCTAGAGCACGCGGCGGCCGTCTTGTTCGCCAGGAGCCGCCATTCTGGCTATGACTTTGGCAGTGAGTGATCAGCGCTAGACTCGACACAGCACCCTGAATTGGTGTTGACCGTTTTTCTTGTACAGACGTCTACCTGGTTTCCCAGCAACAGTAAACTCGGCTATCAATCGGCCGTTGCGTGTTGTGGCTTCGGGAAGGGAGCCTCTCCGCATACTCTCTGCAAGCAGGAGCGGCGCAACAACGCCAGAAAACACGATCAACGCTAGCCGTAACAAGACACATTGTAATGCGGAGAGGCTTCCCTACATTGCGCGCATGGTTTGACTGGGACGCTGACCGCGACTCAGTGTTATGCCTACGCGCTCTACGCTAATCGTAGAAAACAAAACCGATGCGTGTGCTGCATCGTAAGCTTCACGCTTCCAGTTGGGAGATTTTCATGGCGTTGCATTCATCCCGCCCACGGAGCGGTTTGCGTCGGCGCCACAATTTGTCGGAGCATGTAGTGTTGAATGCGTCAAGGTCTTCCAGCAAACAAGCGGTGTACAGGCCTGAACGGTTCGACTCCTACTTCCCAGGGAGTACTCAGTTCGGTAAGCCCTGCTCCGGTGTGGACAGGTGCTTGGCCCCTGGCACGCGGCTGAGCGTATAGTGGCTGCGTGCGCAGAGGCAGCGCGATGGGCAGGTGGTTGAGCGTACAGCAGAGATTGCTCCCGAAACTTGCGGAAGTTTTGGCCGATCTCCCTCGCCATTGCCCGGTGAGCAGCAGCGTTGATGGCATCCGGGGATGCGCGGGCATAGCCCCCCCAAAAAAGCATTCTTGATGCCCCGAAGAGGCCCTCTAAGGAGAAGCTTCCGCGATAACTTCTGAGACGGAAGGGAGGGAAGGGAAGGAGGTGTTTGCAGGGAAGGGCCAGAACGAGAGTGGGGAGACAATGTGCAAGAACAGAGAGGGAAGAACATGAGGAGAACGGCGCGAACGGAAACGGGAAGGCTGAGATCCTGGGGCTAGCATGCGTAATGAGTATATATATATATATGTATATCCTCTGTCTGTGTTGCTGTTCTCTCTCTCTCTCTCTCTCTCTTGTTATATATATAGCTCTCTCGCTCTCTAGAGAGCGAGAGAGCTATGTATACGACATTCCGCCTGCATTCCGCCTGTCTCTGTCATCCCGCCTGCATGCGACACTCGGACACAGGGAGCGCCGAGCTGCATGGCACGACACGCCACTGCAGTCTTCGTGTACGCATGCTTACGCTTGAGTGTTTGCCGGCGTGGGCCTCGCCTCAGTGTGTTCTTGCATATCAGGTGACGGCATGTCCTTACAGTGCGTACGTGCATATGTCCCCGTATGTGTATACGTGCATGTGGATGTATAGGTACAGGTGTAAGGACTTGCGGATGTACAAGTAGATGCACACGTGCAGGGATATACATATATATATGTACACACATACACGTATACGTGTACGTCCGTGTATGTGTGCATGTGCAGTGTGTGCATATGCATATGTATGTGTACAGGTATATGTATGTGCATAGTTCTATGTCTATGCATGTGTGCATGCATGGTTATACATGTATTGCATGGTTACATATAGTTATACATGTATGCGTATGTATATGTGCATGCATCTGTATATCCGCGTGTGCAGGTAAACGCATTTGCATTTCTGTAAAGGAATATGTGAGTGCGTTGTGTGTTAATAGGTATGTGTGTACGTAGACGTTGCCAACGTGTAGCATGCACGCATAACTGCATGCGTGTATATTTGTATGCATAGGTGTATGTACGTATGTTTTTGTGTAGGTATGGGTGTGTGCATGTACGCATGTATGTATGTATGTATGTATGTATGTATGTATGTGTGTGTATGTGTGTATGTGTGTATGTGTGTATGTATGT